TAAATCTCATAATTGTTAAACCGAGGAGAGGTCCCGATTTCGAACCCCCAGACAGATGAGGCTCGACAGCTGGGGACAGCAACATACGAAGCAAATCCAAAAGCAAGAGCAGTCTGAAAGAAATCGGAGTCAACGGCGATATGTTTAACAAGTAATTGTGTTGGAGAAACTTGTGCCCAACATTCAATTAAGAACGAAGAAGAAGAAGCAACTGAAATTATGAAACCCTCTTTTAGCATGAGAGGGGCGTGGGAATTTCTATTCTAGAAGTCGTGTACAATGTCCGGCTGGTAAATATCCGTCCATCGCCGTATCGCACGGAACACTCACACACGGGACGTCTACTAGTAAACCCGCGTAGTAAAACATACGGCAGCTTTCTTACGGCAAACCCACTTGACAGATAAAAACAGGTACGTTGTAATCACACATCGTTTTAAGAGATGCATGGACGGATGAGATTGAGAGAAAGCAGAATTTTAAAATTTGGTTTAGTAGGAATAGATAAAAACATGTACACAAATATGTATTAAATACATTGAAATGAGATAATAAAATAAATGTTCTCTCTTAAGTCTTTGAAAATAACAGTAGAAGCGTTGGTCGCTTATGCAATCTTTTTAACATTAGCGACTAGCGCTTTTACTGTTATATTTAAAGGTAGAACGTTTATTATCCAAAAGCGTGATACTACAGGCCTATATGCTTATAATTTATATATACATGGATACATTATATACATGTTGAATTAAAATTTTAAAAGCAAGTTTTTTTAGATATGATTTTATCTTAACCAACTCAACAGAACAACCTTTCAACAATTTAGAAAAGATTTACCAAATAAACGTATTTATTTATATCAGTCACTATAACCAATCATGATTCTACTTCTCGGATTTTCACTACTCGTTGGGATTTCTATAACGCAACACCAGCAGTAGGTAATGGATTACTGTTTATTGAAAACCAGAATCGATATTCATATTTAGGGAGATCACACCGAATGGAAATATGAATAATTGTAAGTTTCCTGATGATATTAATTACCTCCCTTGTGTATACAATTACATTAGTACGAAGGGAAGCAATGTAATATTAAAGTTGATAAAACTTATAAAAACAAGTTAAAATGAAAAGTAATAAATATTAACTATTTGATTTTTGTGTATTAAATTGTGGATGAATACAATAAAAATAATTATAAAATATTCCAAAAATTTGTTTTTTTTTATAAAAAAAACAAATTTTAAAAATAAATACTTTAAATTTTTGGTTGGACTGTCAATTTAAATATTTCAGTGTTATATATCCCGCCGCAATGATTTAATTACATTATATAATGTTGGATCCCTTTCAGGGACATGTATTTTAAACAAAAACAAGTTAATAAAAAGTCTAGTGACAATTTACGCGCAACTTCCTTATGTTATCCATAACAATTTTTAATTTTTTGTGACCGAACGAAAGGATATTTTTTGCGCTAAAAACCTACACGATGCTCAGTTTAAATTAAAAATATCATCCTAGGCCTACACGATGCTCAGTTAAAAAATTCTTAATTAATTTTTTGTGACCGAACGAAAGGATATTTTTGAAAACTTTCTTCGGCAATATTGTTCTAAATTATGGCAGAAATCGATTGGTAAATGTTTCAAGTCGCTAAGTGGTCTGGTTGCCGAGATATGGACCAAAAACTGCATTTGTTCAAGGTTTTTTGGCTTTTCCGGGTAATCCAGGAAGGAATTCCGGGAATTTTTTTGGCCCACAATCATCCTTGGAACTTGCTTAACATATTTGCTTTTGGAACTAGTCCTCGATATTGCTTCGTTGAGGAGGAGATACCACTTAAAGCTGCGGACACACATCCATTCATTCATCGATACATCCAGAAATGACGAGTTAATAATCGCAATTGTCCGTATGGAAATTGCGCTAAAAATGTATTTTAAACAAAAAGTAGAAAAAAATAAATAAAAAAGAATGATACGGTATTTTTGTACATCACCAAAAATCAGTGCATTGTAATGACAATGTTCTGTCCCTAACTACCGTATATAATTTGTAAACACCATCTGAGAATATCTTACCTGGCTGATTGAGTGATCACTACTGTTTATTGATATCACTTTTTGTTATTGAATATAGTAATCTTTAGATTCATTTTACATACTGAACATTTTATTATCAATTAGATTAAAATCGGGATATTCATGGGCTGCATTTGGGGATGCACTAATCTGCAAAGTTTGCAAGAAACTACTCAGGTACAAGATGCTAAAAATTGAGTAATTAGCATTAATTATAAATTGACAGACCACTGGACAGATACTGTGTTAAAAATCTTAACACTAAGGCACCGAGAGGAATGAAGATGTTTGTTTTAAGAGGGGACTGCGTTTAAACACTGCATCAACATAAAAAAAAAGAGAGGACACTTATGATAATGAAGCGGTTTTGGTCTGAGTGTTAAGGGCCTTCTTCCTTGAATGGCTATCTTGGTCAACCACGAGGTCGCCTGCACAGCTGTGATTGGGGTAAGTCCGGGGCGCCGATAGGGGGCGGGCTGGGACAAAAAGCGGAGTATATAAACATTCTCTGCTGATATGGATGTATATCTCGAGGAAGGGAGGGGTAGTCCATATATGACGTCGTACACCTAGGAGAAATGGAGGGGGGGGGGATGTTCATGTTATGTGAGGAGGGGTGATGGGTCTTCAAAGATATGACGTACCGTACATTTTGTAAGGGCTAAAATGGCAAAAAGGCTTTTTTTTAAATATAAATTTGTGATTTTCTTTTAAAATTAGTATTAACAGGTTGGTGGAATGTGTGACTTAATTTAAAAATGGGGGGTTCTGACCAAGTGTAACGAAGGGTGGGGTATTGGTGATGAGAGTAGGGACCCGATGGAGTGTGACCACTCTACCCTACAAATTTTAGGACGAGATTCCTATACCGGCTGGCTTTTGTATAAAGAAATGTGGAGTGGGGGGGGGGGGGGTGAGAATCGGGGGGGGGGGGAGGGGAGTGTGACGTCAATTATGAACGACGCTGTACAGAGAAAGAAGGAGATCCCGAAAGTACACACATCATCTTTTAACAAAGTGTCTAGGTTTATTATTACATCATCTTTTAACAGTGTCTAGGTTTATTATTCACGATGCTTTTTATCGTAATCGTAGCACGCAACGAGAAATTTTATATCATAAACCATTAAAATATTATTAGTATTTTTGGTTAGGAAATTGGTGTTGATAGATTTATGATTAAATTGTGATTTGCAAGGTTAAACGATTTTTTAAAAGACTTTAACAGGGATCTAAAGCATATTTACACGTGTGTTATAACATATTTACAAAGGTGTATTTGCGCTAGTGTAACAGCAAGTTACCACAGGTATAACAGCACATTTACACAGGTATAACAGTATATGTACACAGGTATAACAGCATATGTACACAGGTATAACAGTATAATTGCACAGGTATAACAACACTTTTACACAGGTATAACAGCATATTTACACAGGTATAACAGCATATGTACACAGGTATAACAGTATAATTGCACAGGTATAACAACACTTTTACACAGGTATAACAGCACATTTACACAGGTATCACAGCACATTTACACAGGTATAACAGTATATTTACATAGGTATAACAGCATAATTGCACAGGTGTAACAACATATTTACCTGAGATGGCCAGTGGCTTAAAGGTGTTACAATCACCTATAACGATGTCGTCAACAGCGATATCACTGGTGTAGCCATAACCCAACACGCCTTCAAATATGATCTAGAGATCAATATTAGAAAAATATCATCTATAGCTCCATATTAAAACAACTTTAACATATAGGAGAATATTAGAAAAAAATATGATATTTAGTAAAATATGGTCTATAGAAATGTATTTGAAAAAATATAGGCCTACCTATGACAAACGATATAAATTAGACCAATGAAAAAAATAGCATGTAAAAATAAAATAGTGAAAACGAATTATAACAATATTACTAAATAAATAACAAGCTAAATTATTTTTTCACCAAACCCTTCGCTCTTTTGTAAGGAGTAAAGTTATAAGAATTTAAATTTTATAAAATTTGGGAAAACTCACGGTAAAAGGGGTGTTACTCCCTTCAATTGCTAAGAAAACTTGTTTCCATTGCTCCCCCTGATCCCCGACTATCGTGATGAGCGCGTTGTTTTCTGTGGGGTTCCTGCTTCCAGGGTTGACCTTGTAGACGGTCAGGTTCCCCATCAGGTCCCCGTGCATGGAGGTGTAGAACCTATAAGGGAACATGGGAACATGTTAAGGTAGGCTGGTAGAGACGTCAGTTGTTAGAATAGAACTAACTGGTAGAGACGTCAGTTGTTAGAGTAGAATTAGTTAGTAGAGACGTTAAGACGTCAGTTGTTTGAGTAGAACTAGCTGGTAGAGACGTTTGGATGTCAGTTGTTAGAGTAGAACTAGCTGGCAAAGACGTTAGGACGTCAGTTGTTTGAGTAGTGCTATCAATGCTATACGTAAATAGTGCTCACACTTTTTAAATTATAATGTTTTACATGGCTGTGCTAGCTGCAGCAGTTTTTAAATACATGTCAGGTGCTATCTTACTAAATGTCAGGTGCTATCTTACTAAATGTCAGGTGCTGTCTTACTAAATGTCAGGTGCTGTCTTACTATATGTCATGTGTTGTATTACTGCATGACTTGACTTAATCCTATTTACTTGTGGAGCATATGGCCTCACCCATAACCTTTCCATTTTGTCACATTATTACATGTAAAGTGATATATTACTGTATGCCAGGTGCTGTATTGTTAGATGTCATGTGCTATATTATTAGAAGTCACGTGCTGAATTGCTAGATGTCAGGTGCTGTATTGCCAGATGTCACGTGCAGTATTGTTAGATGTCAGGTGCTGTATTACCAGATGTCAGGTGATGTATTGTTAGATGTCAGGTGCTATAATACCAGATGTCAGGTGCTATAATACCAGATGTCAGGTGCTATAATACCAGATGTCAGGTGCTATAATACCAGATGTCAGGTGCTGTATTGCTACTTACACGAGGCAGGTGGTGGAGAAGCCCATGTTGATGACAGGGGACACCAGCCTGGCCTTCTGTCTGGGACTTCGGTTACTGGCCTCTACATAGGCGTACACACCTGCAACATGGCGGAATAATGGCGTCGGTTTTCTAAGTCAGCATGGATCGTGTGGAATTAATGTGGTGTGTTTGGTGGTGTGGTTAATGTGGTTTGTTGCGATGTTGGAATTAATGTGGTGTGTGTAGTGGTGTGGTTAATCTGGTCTGTGTGTCGGTGGAATTAATGTTATCCGTGTGATGGTGTATTTAATTAGGTCTGTCTGATGGTAAAACCAATGCTATGTACCAGCAGTGTCACTAGGTGTAGCGTGGACCGCAAGGGGTGTCTTCCTAAGTTACCGAGCCGAGTGACACCCACACCTAATGACACCCCACCCAATGACACCACATATAGTGACATCTCTAAAGAAACCCCCACCTAGCGATGCCACTGCTTATAACTGTATCATATACAGGACAACTGAAACAACGTAATTTTTACAAAAACAGCTCCTGGTCAAGGAGACAGCAACTGACCATAGACAGTACTCAGGGTGTGATCCACATTGGGTCCCGTCCCCTCGGACATCGTGGGTCCGGCAAGTAGAGTCCAGTCAAGGTCATCATCACTGCCCTGGGTCCACCCACAAAATGGCGCCGTCTGGTTGTCAAAGCTGCAGTATTTCAAGGTGCGCCCGCCATTCGACTCTGTGAGATATATATATATATATATATATATATATATATATATATATATATATATATATATATATATATATATACTAAAATTCCGTTTTTGGTTGATTATTAGGACATACACTACAGTAGTATGTTGTTATACAGATCTACATATATATATATAGAAGAATGAGCCCGGTTAAAATATGTTTAGGCCCTCAAGTGAAGGTTAAAGTTAATGGTAGAGGTAAACAAAGTAAAAGTAGTTAGATTTAAAGTGGACCAACGTTGCTGAAAATGAACGACAAAATTAATCAAACATTTGATTGGTCAATAATTACTCACGTAAGCAAACCGGATGTTGGCCCGACCACTCCCCGATGTCGAGACAAACTCTCTCCGGAGCACCAATGAGGACGTAACCGCTGTTGCAGTAGTAGTACAGCTTTGAGCCGACAGAGTAGTCTGCCCCTTCTATCCTGCCATTGGTCAGATTTCCCGGCGATGAGCAGTTGGTGATGTCTGAAATGGCGGGAAAAGACGAGCTGATAAATGAGCTTAAAAAGTTATTAAAATGTTATTATAGTTCAAATTAATATTCCTTTATTTTCTTAAAATTCTAATTTGTAAAATTAAAAATCTTCAACACCATTAAACGGCTCGAATATAACACGCAGAGTTTCTTCCAGGCATCTCTTCGGGGGGGGGGGGGGGGGGCGAACCCCCCCCCCCCCCCCCGAAAATTTTTTACCGCCCCCCCTCCCCGAACGAAATGAAATTTATATAATTTATATAGAAAATATATACTTTTAACAGTGTCCGCCCCCCCCCCCCCCCCCGAAGAAAGTCTACCGCCCCCCCCCGAAAATTTCAAGTGCCCCCCCCCCCCCCCCCCCCGGAGAAAAAAGTCTGGAAGAAACACTGATAACACGGCCAAAATTGGGTGAACCAATGCTGTATTTAAACTATTTGCTTTGAATCAAGCAAATAAAAGTTCTTGTTGTTTAAACGTACCCATGCACGTGTATAACACCAATGCCCAACAGCAATACTGAAAACTCATTTATCGATATTAGTATCGGCAAATCGATCATTAAAAGCTCCTGGTATTTACCCAATGTTATTGTGATGTACCTAAGTATCTATTTGAAGAAAATCAGCCTTACCACACCTATACAAGACATTGATCTTGTCCATGTCGCCTCGCGACAGCCCCACCCTCTGGCCCATGACCACGCCCACCGGAAGGTCCTGTTTGGGCACGATGGTGGGCTTCCGGCGATCTTTGGCGAACGTGTTGTTGGCGTAGTGCATGACGGAGCCGTAGTCGTAGGGCAGCCGGAGGAAAACCTCGTGACTCTCGGAGAGGTTCCGGCGTTGGAAGTTGGTGCGGTGCTCTGGGGAGAGGTCACAGGTGAGAGGTCAGAGAGGTCAGACAGGTGAGGGGTCAGACAGGTGGGGGTTAGGACAGGTGAGAGGTCAAACATGTGAGGTCAGACAGGTGAGAGGTCAAACATGTGAGGTCAGATAGGTGAGAGGTCAGACAGGTGGGAGGTCAGACAGGTCGGAGGTCAGACAGGTGAGAGGTCAAACAGGTGGGAGGTCAAACAGGTGGGAGGCCAAACAGGTGAGAGGTCAAACAGGTGGGAGGTCAAACAGGTGGGAGGTCAGACAGGTGAGAGGTCAGACAGGTGAGAGGCCAGACAGGTGGGAGGTCAGACAGGTGAGAGGTCAGACAGGTGAGAGGTCAGACAGGTGAGAGGTCAGACAGGTGGGAGGTCAGATAAGTGGGAGGTCAGACAGGTGAGAGGTCAGACAAATGAGAGGTCAAACAGAAGGGAGGTCAGACAGGTGAGAGGTCAAACAGGTCAGGGGTCAAACAACTCAAAGGTCAAACGGGTCAGGTGTAAAGTAGGACAGCTATAAAATAGATTAGAGGGTCATACAGATTAATTCTCAAACAAGTCTAAGATCTAACAGGTTAGAGTACATCCGGCCAGTTTCAATTAGGTTAAAGGTCATACGGTACAGAGACTAAACATTCAGGGGTTAACCAGGTCAGAAGTAAAGCAGCTGGTCGTGTCAATCAGTCTAGAGATAAACAGATCTGACATCACAAAGATAAAACGGGTCGGAGGTCAAGTAAGTCAATCACCGTGTATAAAGTACACCCGTCATTTTAAATAAGTAATCTCATTGTCGAAGCTTTAATTGTATTAAAAAACATGTATAAAATCCTTCAATAAATTACCCCCCCCCCCCTTTCTTCCACCCCCACCTGCCCGCTCCTCCCCTTCTCAGCTAGTCTTTTATAAATAAAACCTCCCGTTGAAAAACTAGAGATTGCCAGGCATCTTATTGAGTTTTTTTTTCAATACGATAACGGAAAAAATAATGGTGACTTCCCCGCGACCTTGACCTTACCCTCCTGAATGTTGTCCCACATGACCTGGATGAAGTCGTCCCTGTCACTTCTGCTCTGCTCGTGCCAGAGCCCCAGCGCGTGCAGGATCTCGTGCTGAATGGTGCCATGGTTCAGGCAGGCGTCGCCCAGCGCCACCTCCTGGGATCCGCCCGTCCTACCCACGGGACTGTAGCAGCTACTGCACACCACAAGGTACGAGGAAATCATTATATAGGATATATATATATATATATATATATATATATATATATATATATATATATATATATATATATATATATATATATATAGGCCTATATATATATATATATATATATATATATATATATATATATATATATATATATAGGCCTATATATATATATATATATAGGATATATATATATATATATATATATATATATATATAGGATATATATATATATATATAGGATATATATATATATATATATATATATATATATAGGCCTATATATATATATATATATATATATATAGGCCTATATATATATATATATATATATATATATATATATATATATATAGGATATATATATATATATATAGGATATATATATATATATATATATATATATATATATATATATATATATATATATCTATAATATAATCGGGCTGAGCGTGTCCTTCCGTCCGTCATCGCTATAGATTTTGGGACTATAAAAGTAAACTGCGCACCACGCTGTGCTTTTCAGTGCACCGCAGTGTCTTATTATAAGTATTAGAGTAGGGTTTGTTTATATAGCGGCATAGAGCTATTTTATAATTGCCACGGTTTTTACTCTTTCGCATAACGTCAAGAAAATATTAAATACACGCAAACTGCTAAAACGTATTAAAAAGATTAATGTCAAATATGATTTTAGTTTATATTCCTACAAAAAATGGATACATTTCCATAAAAGTAGGTCGAAAAAGCTAATTAATTCCACTTTTTTTTGTGGTAATTGTTTCAAGGGAGGTAATTTGAAAATATATTTAACTCAACAATAATTTAAGTTAATCTTTTTTTTATTACTACCGCATTGATTAGTCTATGTTAAGGTTCATAATTAAAAGAGAAAAATGTTAAGATTATTTATATTATTTTCTAATTAGTCTATGATTTCTCAAAATCACTATTTTTTGTTTTTGTTTTTTGGTGCTAACAGATGGTGAAATTTTATAATTATAATATAGAGAATGGTGGAAAGACTCTCTCTGGGCGCGGACGCCTGGGAAAAGCGTGATTTTCGGTGGTAATTCTAATTACATTGCCAATGTGTTTTCTTAGAACCATAAAAGTAAACACCACTTGCCGTACATTCATTTGCATCGCATTGTTTTATTGTAAGTTATGGAGTAGGATCTATTTATGTGACTTAAATTTTTAATGTTGGAAAGGGTCTCTTTGGGCGCGGACGCCTAAAAAGCGTGTTGTTTGGTGGTGATTCTAATGTTGTGGTTGTGTTGTTTTTTTTTTTTTTGGTTGTGTTGTGGTTGTGTTGTGGTTGTATTGTGGTTGTTTTTTGGTTGTGTTGTGGTTGTGTTGTGGCTGTGTTGTGGTTGTGTTTTTGTTGTGGTTGTGTTTTTGTTATGGTTGTGTTGTAGTTGTGTTGTGTTGTGTTGTGTTTGTGTTGTGGTTGTGTTGTGGTTGTGTTGTGGTTGTGTTGTGGTTGTGTTGTGTTTGTGGTTGTGTTTTTTGTGTTTGTGTTGTTTTTATTTGTTTTGTTCTGTTCCAAAGTTGGTACATTTAAAAAAGATTTACCGTGGCGGAGCACGGGATGCAGCTAGTATATATATATATATATATAACGCTGCTGGTAGTGTGTCAGTCCTTCCTTCCGTCATCGCTATAGATTTTGGAACCATAAAAGTAAACATCGCACCATGTAGTGCTTTTCAGTGCACCGCAGTATCTTATTATAAGTAATTGAGTAGGGTTTGTTTATATAACGGCATAGAGCTATTTTATAATTTCCACTGTTTGTACAATTTTGCATAACGTAAAGAGAATATTAAATACACGCACATTGCTAAAACATATTAAAAGGATCAATGTCAAATATCATTTTCGTTTATATTCCCAGAAAAAGTGGATACATTTCAATAACATAATAACAGTACGGTAGAAAAATCAAATTAATTTAACTCTCTTTTCTAATTTTGACAAAGGAGGTAATTTAAAAATACATTAAACTCACGCTAATAAAAAATGTGAATGCAAATATACGTTCGTCATAGAAGGAATTAGTGTTGCGATAATATAATTTGCAAAATGTGAATGCAAATTATTCGGATGTGTAAGAGGAAATTATTGTTTGAAAATAATAATTAGCATGGATTGATAAAAGACAATATTTTATTTATTTTATTCACTAAATGTAGGCCCTACTGTTTATTACTAAGACTTATAATTTTTAATCAACTATTCAGCACTATTATAGACGCGTCATCACGTTCATTAGGTGCGCAATGGTTTTAGTTATGAAACGTTATTGTAAATTTTTAAAATTTAAAGTACTGGAAAAAAAATGCGTGAATGGATAAAGTGAAATATTGTAGGTAAAACACGGATATTTTAAATACTGCCTATTATTTATACTGTTTACTAATTATTATTCTATCTTTCGGTTTGCGGACAAGTTAGGGGTTTTATAGGAGAGGCGTAGCGAGGGGGGGGGGGGGGGGGCATATGTCCCGGGGTGCCGACCTTAGGGGGTGCCAAAGTTGGTTGGAAAAAATATGCGAGGGGGGGGGGGGTGGAAATCGAAAGTTTTAGGGCGGAGGGGGGGGGGGGACAGGGGTGCAAATCGAAAGTTTAAGGTTGGTGCAAATCACCGGAAAGGGCGCGATTTGGCGCTACGGGCTAGACTGTGAGCAATATGCCTTTATGATTGCATTCAAATTGTGTTTATGTTATGAGTGTTGTGTTTGTTTTTTCGTTTTTGTTTTTGTTTTTTTGTTTTGCGTTCGTTTGTGTTGTGTTTAGTTTTGTTCTGTTCCCAAGTTGGTATATTTAAAAATGATTTACCGTGGCGGAGCACGGGATGCAGCTAGTATATATATATATATATATATATATATATATATATATATATATATATATATATATATATATATATATATATATATATATATATAAGGAGATGTTTGTTCTGAATAGCATTAGTGTAATGTGGTGTTGATAATTGAGTCTGTGTATGTGGGAACGTGTGAGTGTGTATGTGTATGCGCGGTGCAGTGGTTTCTTTGTATAAGCCTGTATATCTATGTGTATGCGTGTTTGTATGTTTCTCTCATGTATGTGATTGTGTAAATACATAAATATGTTATGAATGCATATTATTGAGTCAAATGCGTAAAAATCCTGGACTGACAATGTGAATGAAATCTGTGGACGGACAATTTGAAATGTGTGCACGGACAATTTGAAATGTGTAGAGGTACAGTGTGAAATATGTGGACGGACAATGTGAAATCTGTGGACGGACAATTTGAAATGTGTGCACGGACAATTTGAAATGTGTAGAGGTACAGTGTGAAATATGTGGACGGACAATGTGAAATCTGTGGACGGACAATGTGAAATGTGTGCACGGACAATGTGAAATGTGTAGAGGTACAGTGTGAAATATGTGGACGGACAATGTGAAATCTGTGGACGGACAATGTGAAATGTGTGCACGGACAATGTGAAATATGTGGACGGACAATATGAAATATGTGGACGGACAATTTGAAATATGTGGACGGACAATTTGAAATATGTGGACGGACAATGTAAAATGTGAAATGTGTGGACGGACAAATGTTTGGACGGACAATGTGAAATGTGAAATGTGTGGACGGACAAATGTGTGGACGGACAATGTAAAATGTGAAATGTGTGGACGGACAATGTAAAATGTGAAATGTTTGGACGGACAATGTGAAATGTGAAATGTGTGGACGGACAAATGTGTGGACGGACAATGTAAAATGTGAAATGTGTGGACGGACAAATGTGTGGACGGACAATGTGAAATGTGAAATGTGTGGACGGACAAATGTGTGGACGGACAATGTAAAATGTGAAATGTGTGGACGGACAATGTAAAATGTGAAATGTTTGGACGGACAATGTAAAATGTGAAATGTGTGGACGGACAAATGTGTGGACGGACAATGTAAAATGTGAAATGTGTGGACGGACAAATGTGTGGACGGACAAATGTGTGGACGGACAAATGTGTGGACGGACAAATGTGTGGACGGACAATGTGAAATGTGAAATGTTTGGACGGACAATGTGAAATGTGAAATGTTTGGACGGACAATGTAAAATGTGAAATGTGTGGACGGACAAATGTGTGGACGGACAAATGTGTGGACGGACAAATGTGTGGACGGACAATGTGAAATGTGAAATGTTTGGACGGACAATGTGAAATGTGAAATGTTTGGACGGACAATGTAAAATGTGAAATGTGTGGACGGACAAATGTGTGGACGGACAATGTGAAATGTGTGGACGGACAAATGTTTGGACGGACAATGTGAAATGTGAAATGTGTGGACGGACAATGTAAAATGTGAAATGTGTGGACGGACAAATGTTTGGACGGACAATGTGAAATGTGAAATGTGTGGACGGACAATGTAAAATGTGAAATGTGTGGACGGACAAATGTGTGGACGGACAATGTAAAATGTGAAATGTGTGGACGGACAAATGTGTGGACGGACAATGTGAAATGTGAAATGTGTGGACGGACAAATGTGTGGACGGACAATGTAAAATGTGAAATGTTTGGACGGACAATGTAAAATGTGAAATGTGTGGACGGACAAATGTGTGGACGGACAATGTAAAATGTGAAATGTGTGGACGGACAAATGTGTGGACGGACAATGTGAAATGTGAAATGTGTGGACGGACAATGTAAAATGTGAAATGTGTGGACGGACAAATGTGTGGACGGACAATGTGAAATGTGAAATGTTTGGACGGACAATGTGAAATGTGAAATGTTTGGACGGACAATGTAAAATGTGAAATGTTTGGACGGACAATGTAAAATGTGAAATGTGTGGACGGACAAATGTGTGGACGGACAATGTAAAATGTGAAATGTGTGGACGGACAAATGTGTGGACGGACAATGTGAAATGTGAAATGTGTGGACGGACAAATGTGTGGACGGACAATGTGAAATGTGAAATGTTTGGACGGACAATGTAAAATGTGAAATGTGTGGACGGACAATGTAAAATGTGAAATGTGTGGACGGACAAATGTGTGGACGGACAATGTGAAATGTGAAATGTGTGGACGGACAAATGTGTGGACGGACAATGTGAAATGTGAAATGTTTGGACGGACAATGTAAAATGTGAAATGTGTGGACGGACAATGTAAAATGTGAAATGTGTGGACGGACAAATGTGTGGACGGACAATGTGAAATGTGAAATGTGTGGACGGACAATGTAAAATGTGAAATGTGTGGACGGACAAATGTGTGGACGGACAATGTGAAATGTGAAATGTGTGGACGGACAATGTAAAATGTGAAATGTGTGGACGGACAATGTGAAATGTCTGGACGGACAATATGAAATGTGTGAAATGTATTTACCCTGTCTCTGGCCGAATAAACCGAATGTAATCCTTCTCCTGCTGCCTCCTCTTGAACCTGAGGCAGGTGGAGTTCTGGATGTCAAAGATGGCGTTCTCCACCTGTTCCTGGGCTTGGGCGGCTAATTGGGCAAGGTATTAATTAATTAATTAATTAATTAATTAACAACTACAGGAATATAGCACAAAATATTGTGTTTAAGACTAAGATCTGAATGTTAGATAGAGGTAGCCCGTGTCTAGTTTTTAGATTCTCGATGAATCTAAACGGAGTTTTATTCGACTATGATACTCTCTACTTCACCTGCCCGTCGGGTTTGACCGTGTAACTTGGCCGTTTCATTTGTTATATCAAAATCTCCTAATAATTGGTTGTACCGGATGCTCTCATAATGTGTGTTGAAGATGGGGTTCGGGCTAATTTAAAAAAAAATCTGTTTCACCATTTACGATTGAGTATCTGATCCATTAGGAAACAACGACAGTAAATTGAACCCTTAGAACGCCACTATACTAAAGACATAGCGAGACAGCACTCACAGAAAGTGAAGTCGTAGATGTACGGCACAGATCTGTTGTACCAGGTCTTGTAGTACTGGGAGTCGATGCTGCGTCTCTGAAAAGTCAAGACACGTCGACTGTAAATTATGTGCTAGCTGTAAATTAGGTAGCACCTGTAAATTAGGTAGCACCTGTAAATTAGGTAGCACCTGTAAATTAGGTAGCACCTGTAAATTTGGAACCCGCTGTAAATTAGGTAGCACCTGTAAATTAGGTAGCACCTGTAAATTAGGTAGCACCTGTAAATTAGGTAGCACCTGTAAATTAGGTAGCACCTGTAAATTTGGAACCCGCTGTAAATTAGGTAGCACCTGTAAATTAGGTAGCACCTGTAAATTAGGTAGCACCTTTAAACTAGGTACCACCTCTAAATTTGGAACCCGCTGTAAATTAGGTAGCACCTGTAAATTAGGTAGCACCTGTAAATTAGGTAGCACCTGTAAATTAGGTAGCACCTGTAAATTAGGTAGCACCAGTAAATTAGGTAGCACCTGTAAATTAGGTAGCACCTGTAAATTAGGTAGCATCTGTAAATTAGGTAACACCTGTAAATTACGTAGCATCTTTAAACTAGGTACCATCTCTAAATTTGGAACCCGCTGTAAATTAGGTAGCACCTGTAAATTAGGTAGCACCTGTAAATTAGGTAGCACCTGTAAATTAGGTACCAACATGCACCTGTAAATTAGGTAGCACCTGTAAATTAGGTACCAACATGGAAGAACCCTAAATGGAAACAAACAAAATGAACCATGTTCCGACCACATGTCTTCATCAGTATAAACAAAAATGTGATATACATTTGGCAACCTTTTTATTTGTGTCTTTAGGTGTGTTTTTTTTTAATTCTTTTCTTTAAAAATATTTTACAGGCTAACCTTAAGTTTTAAATTAAACATTTTACAACTAAGATTGCATCTACTAACAACTAAAAAATCAATTACATGTATAGACCAGAACTGTTTTAGTTATAGCTGATAAGGATACACTATGCTGATTTCTAGATAGAAACAAGGTGCATTCGTACTAAAAAAAACTATTTTTAAATAGTTGCACTCACTAATCTTATTCATAAATAGGTCTGCATGCAGCTTTTATTTAGGGAATTCAAGAATGTCATTTAAAAATATTTCAATCAAAAGCTGTATAAAATCTTTCAAATATACAATTACCATTTTTTTTTAATAAAGATTGATAATAATCAAAACGAGGCGAAACGTGCAAAATAAGAGACATGTTAATGTCAGCTACAAACCACTGAACTACGAGATTAAAAATTTTATTGGACAACAAGACATATTAAAATGTGTTAGATGGAATACACATGCCTTATTTTCAGGGGGTGGGGGGGGGGGGGGAAACACACCTAATATTTATTTTCTTTTTTAAAAAAATATTATCTTTTTTTTCAGAAAAATATTTTTATTTGCCCTAGAATACTTCTGATTTATTTTATAATGGTAAGGGATGTCTGGTTTAAAGTAACTACATTACACTGTGTATGAATTTGTGTGTGTGTGTGTGCGTGTGTGTGTGTGTGTGTGGTCACAAATAAAAATGCAACATGCAGAGGATGTAAACACTGGGCATGACGTCACACTGTTATTTATAGAAAAATGCAGCTGAGTTAACAAACAAACCTTCAAGCCTTGCATATTTTAAAAAAAATATCTTTTTTTTCCATTTCAAAAACAGTATACTAACCACACACAAAGCAATGACAACGCAAAATGTACAGACAAAATAAAATCATAGCAGGAAAATGCTGAGTATAGTGATTCTATTATTACTGCTTCTGTTCAAAAATATTTTCAAAGGCAAAATGCAATATTTAAAAAAAAAAGTTTTTGTTTTTGGGTAATTTTGTTCACATGCCGGTAAATGGAGATTTCTATTTATCAGGGGCAAATACTCAGGGTTGGTGGGTAAAAGGGAAATAACTTTGGCTAACACCTGTCGAGATTTTGTGCCTTCAGTCTTTTTACTGTGACCTTCTTGTGGCTCCTGAATATACAGGTAGCGCGCCTTCTCCTGTACAATCACAGGTAAGGACGATAAACACAGGTAAACATGATAAACAGAGGTAAACATGATAAACAGAGGTAAACATGATAAACAGAGGTAAACATGATAAACAGAGGTAAACATGATAAACAGAGGTAAACATGATAAACAGAGGTAAACATGATAAACAGAGGTAAACATGATAAACAGAGGTAAACATGATAAACATGATACACAGAGGTAAGAATGACAAATACATGTAGCGTGGATAAACATGAGCTAAGAAGACAGATAAGGATGATAAACACAGTTAATTTTGAGGGCAATAATCTTCTGATGTGTAGAAGATAAACACAAAATGGGGGACGATGTTTTACAAGAAAAGTTCAAAACTTTGTGTGACACATACTGACACGCAAACTTATTCAAACACGTAGTGTTTAACGGTGGGGGGGGGGGGGGGGTAAGTGCTTAACCCAGTATATTTTTTTTAAACGAATTTCGTTCGTTTGTGTAGAAACGATTCTCTCCCCATCTTTTTGATTAACCCTAGCTATACCCACGTGATCTTTCCCACGTGACTGTCGTACCACCACGTGACCAGCTTAATGTGGTCCCAAACTCTCAACAATGTACCAAATATAATTGTGAAGGTAAGAAAAAAATAGTTTTAAAATTTTCTATTATTTGTTGACACCTCACAAGGCAATGCGACAATTAAAGTGGATGTGGACTTCCCTCTCTAAATTTGATCTTGTTATTTTCTAAATTGTATTTATATTGTTGATTAAATTAAATACTCCCACCCCCTCCTTCCTCAAGATTTGTGTCCACAGAAACTACTAATAAAACACGCTAACATGGGGACAAACTTTTCTATTTGCACCCCCCCCCTCAAACTTTCGATTTTTTTGCACCCCCCCCCCCCCCCCCCCCATCGAGATTTCGATTTGCACCCCTCCCCCTCAAACTTTCGATTTGCACCCCCCTCAACCTTTCAGTTTATTTTTCCAACCCATTTTGGCGCCACCTATGGTCGACGCCCGGGGACATATGTCCCCCCTCCCCTCCCCATCCACTCTACGCTACTGGGATAAACCACATGTTAACCTTATAAGTTACATGATAAACCACATGTTAACTACATGTTAATCACATAAGTCACATGATAAACCACATGCGATCAACACAAAACAAACCACTATAATACCACAAATGGATAAGCATCAACAGGTAGATAAAGAAAAAAAAAAGTAAAACAACAACCCAGACTTGCCCATTATAAGCCATTAAAACAAGCAGACAAACCAAAAACCAGACTTACTCAAGCCATTAAAACAAGCAGACAAACTAAAAACCAGACTTACCCAAGCTATTAAAACAATCAGACAAACCAAAAACCAGACTTACCCTATCTATCAAAATATCCCCCTCTGTCAAAAACAAATCGGTACCTGTGGAAACACAATTAAACACCTTTAACACATTGTCTGTCACAGGTGTTTATAACATTATAATCCTAAGATTTACCTTGATAGATCAGTTGAGTGAATATGCACACTAAAACTTAACAATAGAATGACAAATGTACGATAAAAAGCAAAAGGAAATAAAAGAAAATTGTTTGGGTGTAAGGAATGTGTGGCGTGGTTGATTTATTGCTTCATTTTTATTGCTTATTTTTTATAAAAACAATTTTGAAATAAATTTAAATTGCATAAAAAGCTTTAAAAAATTTTTTTCTTTCTTTCTAAAATAAAAAATGGGTTTTGTTATTAATGAATACAGCAAAAAATGCCACTTTAAATTTCTTGAACATCCCCCTCCCTCTGTTTTCATTGTCACACTTCTTCCCTGAACTTTGCACCCCCCCCCCCCTCCTTCCTAAATGTGTAATTTACAGTAGACCACACGAGGTATTCGAAGGAAAAAATTCTATAAAACAAAAGCGAGTGTTGATTTGTTGGTGGTAACAAACTTCTAAAAATTGTGTGGGTTGATAGAAACCAGTTCATGATTAGGCCTGGAGATTAAGTTATGACTTACCCAGATTTTCTTCCGGATTAAAGTTGTCATATTTGTTCCAGTCGTGCTGTGTACAAGTTCAACATTTTAAACTGTCAGTCTTTATATATATATATATATATATAATATATAATATATATATATATATATATATATATATATATATATATATATATATATATATATATATATATATATATATATATATATATGTATATAAAGCAAATATGTATGAATGTATTTGTTTATGTAACTTTATAATAATAGTTTCTCTACATAACTTCATTAAACACTCGTAGTCACTGTCACACCTGTCACATATGTTACACCTGTCATGTATATCACACATGTCATATATATCACATATCACACATATCACATATATCACACATCATATTCATACATTTCATGCATCTCACACCTGTCACACCATTTAAACTGGTAGATATAAAAAAAAAACCTGCCCCAACAGCCTACCTGATATAAGGGCAATGACCCTGCATATGATAGCAGCACGACGAAGAAACCAAACTGCAGGTACAACAGGTGAGTAGTCTGGGACAGGTGCATGTTGGTTGGCATCGACTCAGTCTGTGGGTGGGAACAGGAATCATTCAGTAAACTAGCAGTGTGCTTAATGGTCTCAGGAAACAGGAATTATACAGTAAACTTACAGTGTGCTTAATTTAATGGTCTCAAGAAAAATGAATTATACAGTAGACTAGCTCACACGTTACCCACCCCACCTCATACACTCCCCCTCAACCTCTCAACACAAACAGAACATTGTCCCGCATCATCGTGTTAGCAACATCTTTTTTAATCAGTTTGCCCATGAAGGTGAAAATAAATATACAAGAGCTGTTTAAAATCTACTAGCAGGCAGTTTGATTTTATATAGATGGGCATTTATTTATTTGATCAACACCCACCCCAGTTATAAGATCCCCACCCACCCCAGTCATAATATCACCACCCACCCCAGTCATAAGATCCCCACCCACCCCTGTTATAAGATCCCCACCCACCCCTGTTATAAGAACCCCACCCACCCCTGTTATAAGATCCCCACCCACCCCTGTTATAAGATCCCCACCCACCCCTGTTATAAGATCCAGTGTATCTTCCAGACTTTTTTCTCCAAGGAGGGGGGGGGGGGGGGGCAGGGGGCACTTGAAATTTTCGGCGGGGGGCGGACTAAATTTTTCCGGGGGGGGGGGGGGCGGACACTGTTAAAAGTATATATTTTCTACATAAATTCCATTTCGTTCTGGGGGGGGGGGGTGTAGACTTTCTTCGGGAGGGGCTCTGCCCCCCCCCCTCCCCCCCCCTCCCCCCCCCGAAGAGATGCCTGGAAGAAACTGATGAGATCCCACCCTCACCTGTCTATTGTCATAACCACCGGCCGGTTAACTTAACCACCAAACCCAACATACCTATTGGAAACAATTGAACCACCTGTCGGTTAACTTAACCACCAAACCCAACATACCTATTGGAAACAATTGAACCACCAGCCGGTTAACTTAACCACCAAACCCAACATTTCTATTGGAAACAATTGAACCACCTGTTGGTTAACCTAACCACCTAACCGAACATTCCTATTGGAAACAATTGAACCACCTGTCGGTTAACTTAACCACCAAACCCAACATTTCTATTGGAAACAATTGAACCACCTGTCGGTTAACCTAACCACCTAACCGAACATTCCTATTGGAAACAATTGAACCACCAGCCGGTTAACTTAACCACCAAACCCAACATTTCTATTGGAAACAATTGAACCACCAGCCGGTTAACTTAACCACCAAACCCAACATTCCTATTGGAAACAATTGAACCACCTGTCGGTTAACTTAACCACCAAACCCAACATTCCTATTGGAAACAATTGAACCACCAGCCGGTTAACCTAACCACCAACCCAACATTTCTATTGGAAACAATTGAACCACCCGCCGGTTAACCTAACCACCAAACCCAACATTCCTATTGGAAACTATTGAACCACCTGTCGGTTAACTTAACCACCAAACCCAACATTCCTATTGGAAACTATTGAACCACCTGTCGGTTAACTTAACCACCAAACCCAACATTCCTATTGGAAACTATTGAACCACCTGTCGGTTAACTTAACCACCAAACCCAACATTCCTATTGGAAACTATTGAACCACCTGTCGGTTAACTTAACCACCAAACCCAACATTCCTATTGGAAACAATTGAACCACCCGCCGGTTAACCTAACCACCAAACCCAACATTTCTATTGGAAACAATTGAACCACCCGCCGGTTAACCTAACCACCAAACCCAACATTTCTATTGGAAACAATTGAACCACCCGCCGGTTAACCTAACCACCAAACCCAACCTTTCTATTGGAAACAATTGAACCACCAGCCGGTTAACCTAACCACCAACCCAACATTTCTATTGGAAACAATTGAACCACCCGCCGGTTAACCTAACCACCAAACCCAACCTTTCTATTGGAAACAATTGAACCACCAGCCGGTTAACCTAACCACCAACCCAACATTTCTATTGGAAACAATTGAACCACCCGCCGGTTAACCTAACCACCAACCCAACATTTCTATTGGAAACAATGAACCACCTGTCGGTTAACCTAACCACCAAACCCAACATTTCTATTGGAAACAATGAACCACCAGCCGGTTAACCTAACCACCAACCCAACATTTCTATTGGAAACAATTGAACCACCCGCCGGTTAACCTAACCACCAAACCCAACATTCCTATTGGAAACAATTGAACCACCCGCCGGTTAACCTAACCACCAAACCCAACCTTTCTATTGGAAACAATTGAGGTCACGCACCTTGGTTTACCTGTCTTTTTCAAACCTAGCAGACGAGATTAACTTGATCTCACTGGGCAAAAAATCTCAGACTAATTACAAGTACATGGTTTTTTTTTAATTTATCGACACGCTGATTAATTTTTTAAGGGTTTTAACTGTTTTCAGGCAGAATACGGATTGTCTCAAATCTGCTGTAAAAATAGAACAATATAATTTTTTCATAG